CACGGCACTCTACCCAGGGGGACAGCTTGAGGCTCTGTCTCAAAAAAAAAAAAAAAAAAAAAACTTGATTCTATGTAGCTGCAATCTGCAAACCAAACTCTTGACTTTTCCTTAAGTGATACAAACTGGTTAAGAGCATGGGCTCCTGAGGTGGTAGCTGGGGTTACAATCCTAGCTCATCCCTCTCAATAGCTGAATGACTAGGAAACTGACTTCACTTTTCTGAATCTCTGTTTTCTCAAATACAGAGTATAAAGTGGAGACACTCCCATTTCCTACCATGTGGGACTACAGGAGCCGGCCCTTAATCAGGGGCCAATTCAGTACTATTGGGACAGTTCAGGGAGCAACACAGCTGGATTTCCTTTCTCCCTGCAGCCTGTGGCTTCTAGAGGGAGGGTGAGCATCTAGGCAGGGGGTTCACCTTTGCTAGCCATCCCTTAGGATTTTTAAGAATGAAGGAAGAGTTGTACTTGGCAGGGACCCAGGAATTGTGGTAAATAATGTTTGTAAGCCTAAATGTTCCAAAGAGAGTGGAGCTACCATTGATTTCAGAGAGTATTTCCCAGCCCAGGGAGCCCTTCAGTTACCACATTCTAACGAGCAAGACCGGTGTCATCAAACTGACCTGCGTCCCATACATTCAGGCATTAGGAGGTGCAATGCACTGTCATCTCCAACCTAACGCCTCCCTAAAGACGCTGCATAAACCTGTGCTCATTCCCAGGGCTGCTGCCCTTTCATGGGCTGCCGGGGAGGTCAGGGACAAGAAGGGCCTGTGTATCTCACCAGTATGAGGTGACTGGAACCAGACCACAAAGGGCTCTCTGGAAAATACATCTGTGTCTCCATTCTGATAGTCATGGTAGAGGTAGTTTTTCTTCACAGACACCAGTTGTTCCCTGGAAGAGAGAAAAGGAAGCCCTCTTGTTGAGTCCGTTGTTTTCTTCTTCCAAGAAGCAGAGATGTAAGTTCCCATGACTTTGTTAGCCTCCAGAGAAGACTCGCGGGCAGGAAGGTATCTTTTGCCTGAAAACAAGACTGAGTCAACCCTTCTCAACAGCCAGGGCCCCTTGAGAGCTAAAAATCCTGAGCCATTCTAGTTATCTGGGGCACCCACAGGTTAATGTTCAGACTTAAAACAAATTACTAGTAGGAAGAAGACAAGAATATGAAGTTCAGGAGTCAGCTGCACGGGCAGCTCAGCTTTCCAGCTGTGGGCCAGGACCCAGGCAACCCTTGAGCCAACCAACAAATTGAGGGGTAGGAGGATGCTTGTGATTTTTAGTTTGAAGAGTTAATACTTTGCATCAGTCCCAGTTTTGATCAACACTGAGAACTAATTAGAGATCAAAGTCTGGTTTTAAAGTAAAGATAGGCATTTTGATTCAATTCATAACTTATTAGTGGACCATGTTCCCAGGAATATAGATTATACTTACTTGTAGAGAAAGGCATATTGTTCTTTATAGGTGTTTCTTCCAAGCCGAGAGCTAATAACATAGCTGTATGTTATACCTCTCCTTGAATTTCTAGAAAATATAAAGTTTCACAGTGCATGTTAAAGAATAAACATTCCCTACTATATACATTTTCCTACTCCAGGCCGCCTCCATCTACCCACTGATAGCACATGGAAGGGCTGCTGTTCATCCATAATCTTTGATTCCAATAGGAAAGGGCCACCATTAACTGAAGTATAGCATCTGCCAGGATCTTTACAGCCATTATTTCTTGCCTCGTGAGGTTAGTACTTCTTTTTACAGTATCCCCTTTTCTAGTTTACAATGCAAACCTGGGATTTGAATCAACATCTAACTTACCCCAAACCCACTTGCTATAGCCAAGCCACATTAAAGGCTGCCATAACTTTGTTCTTTTCTTTTTTAAATAGAGGTAGGTAGTGAGTTTTATTTATTTATTTTTTGTTGTTGCAGTTTTGGCAGGGGCCAGGTTTGAACTTGCCGCCCTTGGTATTTGAGGCCGGCGCCCTACTCAATGAGCCACAGGTGCCGCCCCATAACTTTGTTCTTGATTGAAACTGTCTCAAAGTCTGCAGGAAGGGATATTCTTTTGAAGACCCTCCGGAGAGGTTAGAAAACTAATTTAGCACTGAAAACAGAGTATACTGTGGTCAGGAATTTCCTGGAAGAAACCTGAGTAGCGGTAAATCAAGACAAGGTTATTGTGCTTCTAAGTTAAAGATTACGTCTATTCTTTACAGATGAATACTTTGTTCCTTGAAGCAAAAAGAGATAAATAAGGCTCCTGACTTTTTGTAACTTTATTGTGTTGTAAATTTAAGATTATGTGTGTACATGCAGAATGCTTTATAGTTAGGGTACATAAGTAAATAAGAAATAAACTAGAGTTGCTGCATGCCTGAGAGAGCTATAGCCCCCTTCTCTTCCAAGACATTCTGACCACTGGTCTTACCTCTGCGACTCCGGCCCGATCAATTCATGCAACACATGCTTTGGCCTGCACTTGTGGGAGGCCATTGAGACCATAGAAGATCATTCAGGCCCAGAATCAGCTCCAGACCCAGCTCTGGCTGACCCATGGCTGGGCCTGCAGTTCATACTTTCTGGTAGAATAACCATCATCAGGTTACCCATCTGCATCCAGGCATCACTCCTGAGCATTTATCCTCCCTCCGCGCTGCCTCCATCACCTCTGAAAATCACCAGGCATTTTTTCACAAGTCCTGGGACTATAATTTCAAATCATTATTTACATCCCGGGGGCTGGGGATTCAGCCATGAAGTTCCACTGACCTTGCCTCTCACCTAGACCAGAGAAACTGGAGTCTTTATGTGTGCATGTGTGTCTGCTAAACCTGCTGATAAGTCCACTCTGGGCAGAGCCTGACACGTTTCATTCTATTTGCCCACAAAAGATTTAGGGCATGTCTGAAGCTGTGCATATTCTCAGGTTCAGTTGGAAATAAGCCAATTTAGGGGCCAACTTAGACCCTACAGAAATTTCTGGGACTTCCAACGCATTCATCTAAGGAAGACCCAGCCACTGGGGCCCCAGGAGTGTGGACAATAGATTCTTTTGGGCTTTCCACTTGGGGAGGCTGGCCCCATTCTGAATCTAGCCTGCTAAGTCCTATGTTGGAGAATTGCTTGTGGTGACTCAGCTGCGAGGTGACTGAGAGAGACAAACAGGCTTGGCTCTGCCTGGATTCCATGACACAGTCTAGACAGGTTGGAGAGCACCAAGACACTACTGGGGGAAAGACTTGCCTGGAGCCCACCTGTCCTCTCAGTCACTGGTGCCATGCTAAAGAAGTCTGAGAAGGCTGTGAATAGAGCACTGGATTTGGAGTCGGACATGATCATTTACTGGCTGGGTGGCCTTGGACAGGTCCCCCCTCTCTGTGCCAGATATGACCCAAGTTCAAAGGTAGGGTCAGCCATTTACTGGCTGGGTGACCTTGGGCAGGTCCCTCCTCTCTATTCCTCAGTACCCTAAGCTATGGGGAAGCAGAAATAGTATCTACCCCCAGGGCTGCTCTGGGGAGCAGGTAAAATAGCACATGCAAATCAATTCACTGGAGATCTGGCCTGTAGTCAGGGTACCAATGATAGCTGCTACATGTGGCCCCCTGGACCATCCCCTGCCTTTATAAGTCCCTTCCTTTTACTAGTGATAGATACCACTAGCATTTATTGACACTCCCCCCCCATGTGCCAGGCACTGCTCAAACATTTGCATGCATGATTTCATTATTGTGATATGCCAGGAAGATTGTTCTATTACCAGCCCCAATTTAATAATGAAGATAATAAGACACCGAGAAGCTCATCACTTGCCCAAGCTTATGGCATAGCTGCATCCTGACCCCGGGGGTCTGAGCTGAGCATGGACTCCCAAACCCTGTGCTACACAACTTCGCTCATTGTCAGAGGTCAGATCCACAGAAAGAAGACTTGCTGAGGCTCAGAAGAAAAGCTCAGCTCTATTACTTTAATTTTCAGATGAAAAACTGAGACCCAGAGAAGGGGCAGGGAGCCTAAGCGGCCCTCTGTATTGAGATGTGAATTCACAGCTGCTCCCTGCACGCCCTGGCCTAATGAGTCTGGATTGCTAACAAACGATGTGCATTTTTCTAATGATTCAAGTAAAATAATGGCCAGATGTTATTATTTGTTAAATCTTGGGAGTAGATACGTGGCTGGTTATTCTAATTTTCTCTTTGCTTTTAAGCATGTTTGAAAATTTTTATGAGAAAAAGGGGGAATATTATCAGTCTCACTGTAAAAATTTTGGAAAATATAGAGAATACATACAAAAAAATGACATTTAAAGTCTGAGATAGGCACCATCAACAATTTGGTGCATTTCCTTTGAATCTTTCACATTGTTTTAAAAATGTGATCCAGCTAACATGGTATATATTGTGTACTCTAGTTTGTTGTTTAATCTTATATCTACAAAACAGAAATTACATTGGAAGCCTTTAAACATTAGGGTGCATCAGAATCAATAGGGAAGCTTGTTAAAACACAAGTTTCCCTCTCACAGATCTTCTCACCCAATAGACCAGGGGCCCATGAATGTATATTTTTAACTCATTCTGGGGTGATTTGCAGGTGGGTAGATCTGATCATTCTTTAAGAAAGAATATAGCCCTAACTCACGCCTTTTGTAAGATGTTCTTGTAGCAAAAACACTTATACCTCCTTAATTTATATTTTGGAATATAAGTAAATAAATAATTTAAGAAAGACTATAAATCATAAATCACCCAAATTTATTTATTTATTTATTTAGAGACAGAGCCTCAAGCTGTCGCTCTGGGTAGCTATGGCATCATAGCTCACAGCAATCTCCAACTCCTGGGCACAAGCGAGTCTCCTGCCTCCGCCTCCCAAGTAGCTGGAACCACAGGCGCCCACCACAACGCCCGGCTATTTTTTGGTTGCATCCGTCATTGTTGTTTGGCGGGCCTGGGCTGGATTCGAACCTACCACCTTAGGTGTATGTGGCTGGTGCCTTAGCCACTTGAGCCACAGGCGCCAAGCCCAAATTTATTAAAAATAATTTGAGGGAAAAAAATTAAAAAAAAATTTGAGGGGATTGGCACCTGTGGCTCAAACAGCTAAGGCACCAGCCACGTACACCTGAGCTGGCGGGTTCGAATCCAGCCTGGGCCCACCAAACAACAATGACGGCTGCAATCAAAAAATAGCTGGGTGTTGTGGCGGGCGCCTGTAATCCCAGCTACTTGGGAGGTGGAGGCAGGAGACTCGCTTGAGCCCAGGAGTTGGAGGTTGCTGTGAGCTGTGATGCCACAGCACTCTACCCAGGGTGATAGCTTGAGGCTCTGTCTCAAAAACAAAAAACAAAAAAACAAAAAAAAATAATTCGAGGACATTACTTTTTTTGTCCTTATTATTCTTTAAATTATAAAATTAATTTGGCCCTATTACAAAATATTCAAATTACACAGAAGTATTATTTAAAAAAAGTAAGGAGGCCTCACCTTTTACTGACCCCGTCCAATGACTGGCACTCCAATCATACCTCTCAGAAACTTCTACTATGAATAGTTTGGAGCACATCTTTCCAGTCTTTCTTCTAGATCCTCACAAACACAAACACACCCTTATTCATGTAATGTGGCCAGTAACATAGGCTGTTTTGCCTACAATTTTGAACTTGTTTTTTCAAAATATTGCAGCTACCTTTCGATGAGGGAATATTTAGCTTTAACTTACTTTGTAGTAAGCATGTTTTTTTTTTTGTATTTTTTGAGACAGAGCCTCAAGCTGTCTCCCTGGGTAGAGTGCTATGGCATCACTACTCACAGAAACCTTCAACTCCTAGGTTTTAAGTGATTCTCTTGCCTCAGCCTCCCAAGTAGGCACCCACCACAATGTCCACCTATTTTTTGGTTGTAGTTGTCATTGCTATTTGGCAGGCCTGGGCTGGATTCGAACCCACTAGCTCTGGTGGTACATGTGGCTAGCACCTTAGCTGCTTGAGCTATAGGCCCCGAGCCAGTAAGCATGATTTTTAACAGTTGCATAATACTCCAGTGTCATTGACCCTTTCTTCTATGTTTCAATCTTTTTTTTTTATTGGCAATAGTTCTATTACTTGATTTTTCTTTTCCCCCAACATACTCTTTCTAACAATATTTCTTAGCTCGGCCTCTTGTCTGCTTTGTTCTCTTCTCTGTCTGTCCTGGCTCCCCAGCTTCCTCCCCTATTCTGCTTTATCATATTAAAACAGACCAGTTGAAAGTTCTCAGGACCATGGCTAAGGGAGTTGGAAGCCTAGGCGGCGTCAGCCGTGTGACCTGGTGGTCAAGTGCAGGCTCTCACACTACTTTCAGTTCCTGTGGCTTTTCAGATGTCCTTGCACGCAACCCCAAGTGCCCAGGCCCACCCTGCCCCCACTTTACCCATTCAGCCTCTCCATCAGCATGGGGCAGATCATGTTGTTGCTGTCCTTGATTTCCATCAGGAGGATGATGTCACAGCGTTTGATGACCTGCCGAGAGAGAATTCCTGGGGGTTTGAGGCCAGTTGCCATAAATAATAAAAACCTTTTATTGGGCACTTACTGTGTTTTAAGTATTATATTGGGTGCTTGTTAAAATGATCTAATTTCTTCACTGTACTAAATGAAGGAATCCCTGAAGTTGGTGCTTTTATTATGTCTATTTTAAAGACAAGGAGCCTGAGGCTCAGGAAAAGTAGAGTAAATTGTCCAGCATGTAGCTACAAAGTGACCCAGGCAGAATCTGAACCCCAGCATCTAAGTCCAGAGCTCACAATCATGACTCCCTCACATCCTACCTTTTGGCTCTGCTTGAATAATAATAATAAATAAATACTTATTAAGCCTTTAGGAAGCAAAGGCAGCAGGCTGGATACTCCAGAAATAAAGAGGTGTGACTATAATCACAGTAATTGTAAAGCTGACATTTATTGATAACCTACTCTGAGTCTCACAACAGCCCTATGACATGACTATAATTATAAGCCCATTAAACATAGATGGAAACCAAGCCCAGAGTGGTTAAGTGACTAGATTAAAGGCACACAGCCAGGATAAGTGGTGGAGCCAGGATTTGGACTCAGGACTGTGTGACTGTGAAGCCCACTATACTAACTGTTAAAATCCCCAAGAGAGACAAATGGCAACAACTACCTATAATGTGAGGCAAATTAATTTTGTGCTAAATCAGAGTCACAAGCTGTGGAAATGTGGAGGAATAATTATTAATAATTATTTCTGGAGTAATTATTAGGGCAGGCTCCAAGGAGCATGTGCTATTTGAATAGTCCCTGAAAAGTGAGAAGGACCAAGTGGGGAAAAACACGGCAGACCTTCCTTCAGGGTAGGCAACAGACCAACCCTTGGTGACCGTGGGGGCATTCAGCATATGGGATCCTAGTGTTTCTATGTTGCAAACACAAGATAGATTATTACATAGCATTAAAAGTCATTTTTTTGTTTTTGTTTTTTTTTTGAGACAGAGTCTCACTCTGCTGCCCTTGGTAGAGTGCTGTGGCGTCATAGCTCACGGCAACCTCAAACTCCTGGGCTCAAGTGATCCTCTTGCCTCAGCCTCCCAAGTAGCTGGGACTACAGGTGCCCATCACAACTCCCAGCTATTTTTAAAGATGGGGTCTTGCTCTGGCTCAGGCTGATCTTGAACTTGTGAGCTCAAGCAATCCGCCAGCCTTGGTCTCCCATAGTGCTAGGATGACAGGTGTGAGCCACCTCGCTCGGTCATTTTAAAAGAATATAAACATCATGGGAAATGTTTCTAACTTAAAAGCAGAATACAAAAACCAATGGTCATGCTGCAAAATATTAATACATACAGACTTATGTATTTATTTTTACACAAGAAAAGACACCTGTAAGAAAATTACCCAAATGTCAACACCTGTTGTCTTTCAGTGACAGGATAACGGTGATTTTTTTCCCTCTTTACATGTTTCTATGTTTTCAAAATAGTCCATAATGATTATTTTTCACTTAATGGAATTATTTTATAATTTATAAAAAATATATAACTTTAAAACTTTATATCTTTATAATTTAAAAATTTGTAGTGTTATTTTAGAAGGAAAACTTCTTGGTGAGGAAAGTTGTAGGGGAAGAGATGATGGTCAAAATTTAGCAGAACATGACAGGCACATTTCTAAGTTATTTAATATAAGTTAAATGAGTGTCTTATATAAAATACAGTGCCTGGCACATAGGAAGGGCTTCACAAAAGTTGGCTTTTATCATTGATTCATTAATGTTTATGATACCCCTTCGACATCAGTCCTTTTAATATCCCCACCGAGTAGTTGATACTCTGAGGCTCACTGAGGTTTGGTAATTTGAACACCAAGTAAATACGAGATAATTCTCTACACTACAAAGCCCCTTCTTGATCACTATACTCAACAACCAAGGAAATCAGCATGTTCTTATGACTGTTCCTCCTCAAAGGTCAAGGTCCCTTTTGTGAGTGTGACCCACCAGTGCAAGGCAAATACAAACCCTGGGTTCAGATCAGATTCTCTTTCCTGAGTAGAGAGTTCAGTCTCCAGATTTCCTGATTACAATCCCTTTCCTTGCTTAACAAACACTTTTGAGCCTCACATCTCTAGCAATTCCTAATTTCCACTTCCCTTGGGTCTCCTTGGCACCTCTGGGAATCCATCCTATAGAGGAGAATCTACAATGCAATGAGCAATAGCTCAAGATCCCATCATCAAAATTCTCCTGGAGATGGAATCTGTAAATTTGGCTGGTTGACCTTCATCCATCCACCAAACTCACCCATCTATCTGTCCATTAGTTTATCCATCCATCCAACAAAAATGTATCATGGGCCTGGCTTCTGTGTGCCAGATAACATGCTAGGCCTGGATCTCTAGCTCCTGCCACAGTATCTGGTGTGAGTGAAAGAAAAGGAGGGAGGGAGCAAGGGAGGGAGAAAGGACTATACTGAAACCAGTTAAGCCAAATTCATGAAGCACAAACATCTTTCTATTCTTAAATCTTCCTTATGGCATTGTAAGAAAAATGGGAATAAATTGTTTATTCAATCCTTTAAAAAATAATTTTGTTATGGTTTCCTAATTTTAAAAATAATATTTCTTATAGAAAATTTGGAAAATAGAGCAAAGACAGAGAAGACTATAAAAATCATCAACCTGGCTCAGCACCTATAGCTCAACGGGCTAAGGCGCCAGCCACGTACACCTAAGGTGGCGGGCTCGAATCCCCAGCCTGGACCCGCCAAACAACAATGAGG